ATCAGCTCAAGGAAGGTTACATCAAAGGAGACAGAACGAAGCATGTCTTGCCCAAGTTCTTTTTCACCCACGACCTGCAGAAGGCCAAAGAAGTCCGGGTGGTCCGAGTCCAGTCCAGCAGCAACTTGGCCGACATGTTCACCAAGTCCTTACCAACCAAGACGTTCAAGAAGTTCGTGTACCAGATTGGGATGCATTCACTGAGCCATTTTCAGTGATGCATTCATCAGGGGGAGTATCATGTGTTGTACTCTTTTTCCTTGTCTGAGGTTTCCATTTTTCCCACCTTGGGTTTTTGGTTTTCCTAGATAAGGTTTTAACGAGACAACATTAAGCATGGTACAAGCCCATACGGTTAGGCCATTCAAGGGGGAGTGTTATGGACGAGTTAGTGAATGGGCCATAACCATTAGATAGATTAGGACTGGCCCAATGGTCGTGTGACCCAATAGTCTAGGCGGCCAGCCTCTTTTCCTTTTATGTGTATTTCCAATTCCTTGTTACTTTAGGAATTTGATGTTTTCCATTTATCTTGTTCTTGTATCCCATATATATATGGAACCTCTAAAGCATGAATAAGATACAGATTTCACTTTAGTTTACAACATTGAGTCATTTCTTTTGATACAATTTTCTTTGATTATTGGATTAATTGCATGGCTCGCAAAAAGAAATTAGTGTGCTCATAATATTAGTATGGTGCTGGGCTGCTGTCACAACTCGTACATATTATGCTATTTTCAATGATACTGAATGTGCTGAATTTTTTAATGATATTTTTAAGGAGAAGAATTTTTTATGTTGTGCAAGTCTACATACAAAAAAAAATATATGAAATATAAATAACTTGAAATATAAAGTATGGGAATATTATACTCACCCTTGTTTGGTTCTTGTCTTTTGATTGATAAATTACTATTCCAGTGGTCACGTGCATAATTAACAATCCTACGCATAAATATTTGCAGAATGTGTTATGTATCTTGATCATTTGCTCTTAGCCTCTTCTTTCAAGATGGCAAAACTGGATCAACTTTAATTGTCCCGCCTTCAACGCCTTTCCTAAACGCTCCCTGAATCTGAGACGCTGCTTCTGCGGCTGTTTTGTATGCCACCAGAGCGTCGTTAAGATTCAGTTAATCATCTTGGAGAACGCCTCAGTTTGACATCTCCCCCTTTCAAGTCTTATGGTGTCCACTAGCTTTGCCGCAAACCTTCATTTTTATAAACTGGGATATCAAACATATCTCTGCAACATAAGCAGATAAAACACCAAATCCACTTTCTTGTGCCAAATCTATAACCCATTTTTAATATATCGAAGTAAGTAACGTCTCGGAGATTAGTCTTTGTGACACCAGCCCTCGTCCCAACCAGTTAGCACTTAGCAGATAGATAGTGAAGCCAAGTTTCTTGAGAACATTGTACAGTCTCAAGCTCGCTTCAAAAGCTGGAGATGTTCTTTCTACCACCACTTACATTAAAGGTAACAGACTCGAACGGTTTAGTCCTATATCCACCAAAAAATCATTCATTTAGTACACTAAAACTGATGCAATTACAACGGAACCACCGGAGTATTGAATTTTGTTATTTGTTGCATATGCACACAAAACAATTGCCAGAGACCAGAAAAAAGGAGATACTTACTGAATAGCCATGGCCTTCCTTTGAAGAATTGTTGATGATGTAGATACAATCCTGATAAACCAATGAAAATATTCAGATTACTAAATGCCAAAAAAATATGTGTGATAGGTAGAAAAACAGGAGATGATGTGTTAATACCACAATATTACTAATTGCATATTGTTGATCCTAGATGCCACTGTCATACTTAAAGACCCTGAAGTCACCAGTCAGGAAAACAGAGCCACCATTAACCTGAAAATTTTGAAACAATACAATACAACAAGCAATTTTGCTATGCATAGCAAACTATGTAATCACAGTGCCTTATGTAAATACAATTAGTCAGGGTTTTTGATTCTTCGATATGGAGATAGGAATAGTAAATTGAATCATTACCCATTCGTTGATAAACATCTCGACATAAATCCGGAGATCTTCCCATAAAAGGATGAGCTTGGCCTCTCCCAACCCAGGAAGAAAATCGTGGAAGAACCATTATACTGAAAATAAGATAAATGATTTTTGAAGATGGAATGCGGAGATGGTTCTCATAATTCCACAGTCTTACTTGAGTTAAACTCGCATTCAGAGGAGATCATGAGGTATGGATTTAAGGACTTGAAGAGGGTTAATCAGTAACCAATATCTCTGCGGATTGATAAGGAAGAAGATGAAACAACATTCATGGAACTCAAATTACGTCTTGATCTGGAATGGCAGAGGAGTATTTTCCTTTGGACAACGCAAAACGACAGCTAATACGCGTTTTAGACTGAGATATACTGGACTCGAGTTGGGCCAATTGTGAGAAGATACAAAGCCGAATGAAACAAAACGCATATGTCGATCAAAATAAATGAAACGATGCGGTTTAGGTACATAACACGTGGCAGTCTCTAATGAATCGATTTAATGACGTGGCACTATCTAGAAGAGAAGAACCCATACTTTATATATATAGAATGTTATTTTGAGAATGCACTCACATGTGTCCCACTCGTTTGAGTCAATAGGGTCAATTTATATATACAATTTACAATCAATTTTCCAATTTACTGTACATATAGACAGTAAAACCTCTATAAAGTAATAATATTGAAATTTAAAAAAATTTATTAATTTATAGAAATATTAATTTACAAAAAAATGAAATTTTTATTTTAAAATATATTTATTCTTCTTTTCTGAACTAAGATAAATTTATTCTAATATAAGAAATTTTTTGATTTTAGTATATAGATATTAATCATTATTTTTTGAAATTTGACATTTATATTAGTTTTATTATGTTATTTGGTGTATATAAAAATATATTACATAGAATTTAAATGTGATTTTAGATATAATATTAATTAAATCTCATCAAAAATATATTAAGTGTTAAGTAAATATAAAGATAATTCTATTCTGAATATAAAATAAACAATATATTGATAGATTTTTACTTATATAAGTATGTATACATATAAATTATTAATTTATAATGTTAATGAAATCATATATTTACATAGAATTTTCATAAAAATAATATCTTATTATTTTTATCGATTGTGTTAATTTTTAAACAGATCTAAATTAGAACAAACGAAATTTATTAATTTATAAAAATTATTAGTTTATCGAATATTAATTTATAGATCATCAATGTTGTTTATTTTCTTCTTCTTCTTGGGATACCAAAACAATTTAACCTATAAACTAATATTAAAATAGAAGTCACAACTCATTTTATGTGTGATTTTTTAAGTTGTACCATCTCCGAGATAATTACTTAATAATATTTTTTATTTATACAACAATTAATAATAATATATGTCTTTTTTAGTTTTTCTTTCTCTATACAACTAATTAAGAGTATCTTTAATAAAATATTTTCCTGATTTCATTCCGAAATATATGCTTTTAATTTTAAATATTAATTTTGTTGATTTAATTCTAGCTAAAATATAACCATGGTTTTATTAAATGGATCATTATAAAATATATATTTTCAGAGTTCAAGATCACTATATAAATATTATTTATATACTTTCTAGATCATATGATACAATAAAATATAAGACATTATAAAATCAAATACGGGTTCAAATATGCAGTAGAGAAAACGACTAGGATAGACCTAAGAGTTGAGAAGTGAAGTTTTGGGGATAGTGTTTCAAATTTTTTTACTAAAAAAAAAACTTAAAAATTTTCAAAATAAAAAATAATATTTAGTCATTTTAATTTTTGAGGTTTATTTTTGTGATAAAAGCTTAAAAGAAAACTGTCTGAGAGAATTGCCCTATGCAGTAACATAGTTTATAATGTTTTTATATTTTGAATATTCAGTACTTGTATAATATTTTATTCTACTCTTATACTTTCTAGACTAAATTAATCGGCACATACACAGTGATATATAAACTTAAATAATTTATGCTACTCTTATATTTTGTAAAATATTGTACTAATGGTCTATAGAATAAATATACCAATTATTTCACAGCTATTTAATCCTAAGTTTGGTATATATAAAATTTTCTTCATGTAACTTTGAAATAGGTACCATATTATTCAACTATAAAACTAAATTTTGAATAAATAAGTGTATAAATATAGTCAAAGATATTAAATAATTAAACTTAAAAATAAATAAATAAAAATATGGTTCATGTAATAAACATGATCAAATGACAAATAATATATCTTACATATCATTGTAATTACCTTAACATCTCAATATAAAGTAGTTTTACCAAAAAAAAAATTTTAAATAATATGAATAATAAATTTAAACATTAAAATGTCAATTATATATAAAATTACACAGTAAGATAAAAAAACATCTGTGCGGTTGCGCGGATCAAAATCTAGGAAGGTTTAAAACATAAATCTATCTTATCTATATATATATATATATATATATATATATATATGTTGACAAATAAAGTTAAGTATCTTGACCAAATAAAACAAAGAATAAAGTCAAGTATATACCGAATAAAAACTGAATTTCTGTCATTAATCAGGTTCATATTTAGCGTAATGATATTTCAGAATCACGTAGTTTTAGACATTATCGTTTTTATCAGTTACAAAATAATCATTTTCCCCTTAAATAAACATGTAGATTCCCATAAAACTTCGTTTATAAATATCCGTAAATATGAAACGACACCGCGTCGGTAGAAACAGCAGTGGAATGAGAATCCTCTACGTTATGGAAAGCTGGGACCACACACGATCTGAACCATTAAATTAAATTGAAAGCCATAAGAACCGTTAGATGTCAAAAGTCGAAGCCAGTAGAGTCCAGTCGAAGATGGACCCCACTTTACACCTTTAACACCTCTCCCTCCTTCCACTGCTAATGCAAAAGCTGCTCACATAGAAAAGCAAACACTTAACGAGGAAGAAACAAACTCATCTCTTCCACGCTGTTTTTAATTGTGTTGTTAATCAGATCTCTCGAGAGAGTTTAAGACAAAGTGCCTTACTTTAGGTTCTGTTTCTCGTAACTTTCGTTTTTTTTCTTTGTGAGATCACATTCACCTTTTTATGTAAAACTGTTGCAAAGTGTTCTGTCCGAGCAGGAGATGATGAGATTCTCACTGCTTTTCTCGTCTCTGTTAGCTTCCACTTGTCTCTTCACTTCTTCATCTGCTCAATCCGCAGGTAATTGTCTGTTTTTGAGTACTTTGTGATGTTTTTTTAGTAAGTTTTGCCTTCTCAAAGAGATTTGAGAAAAAGATGGAGTCTTCATGGGAATTGAAGTAGATTCTAACATAAAGATTGAAACTTTTGTGTCTGTTTTTGATAAGGGCAGGTTTTGTGAGCTTAGATTGTGGAGGTACAGAGCCATTCACCGATGAACTTGGACTTAACTGGACACCTGATTCCCATCTTCTCTACGGAGCAACCGCTAAGATCTCTTCACTCAACGAAACAAAAACTCAATACACAACTCTAAGACACTTCCCTGCCGATTCAAGAAAATACTGCTACACCCTCAACGTCACAAGCAGGAACCGTTACCTCGTGAGAGCCACTTTCCTTTACGGCAACTTTGATAGCAACAATGTGTATCCCAAATTCGATATCTCCCTTGGAGCAACTCATTGGACGACCATTGTTATCTCCGAAGCCGCCACCATTGAAACAGCAGAGCTTGTGTTTCTGGCTTCTAGTCCTAGTGTTAGTGTTTGTTTATCCAATGCCACGACAGGGCAGCCGTTTATATCCACTCTTGAGCTTAGACAGTTGAATGGTTCGATGTATCTCACTGAGTATGAAGACAGGTTTCATCTCAGTGTTGCTGCGCGGATAAACTTCGGTGCAGAAACTGAAGCTCCTGTGAGGTTAGTATATATAGTTCATAATCTGCTTCTTGTGTCCACATTGTGTTGAGAGCAATGTTCAAGAAATGATATTTTGGTGAATTAGTTACATTTATATGTACAAAAAATAAAAAGACTAACAAAATTGCACTTATATTATTGCTTAATTTAAGTGATTTATACCAGCTAAGATCGATCTAAACCAATTTAGATTAATTTTATCCAATTTAAAACGGTTGAAACCGGTTGAGTTGTTTAACTCGGATTTTAAAAATGCTGATTTGCCACCTAGGTGCCTCTAGACCAATTTTAGAACATTGTGTTGAGAGAATGAGTTATTAACTGCAGGTATCCGGATGATCCTTATGATAGAATATGGGAATCTGATTTGCTAAAGAAAGCTAACTACCTTGTGGATGTTGCTGCTGGTACCATGAGAGTGTCCACCACCTCACCTATAGACAACGGTGCCGTGATGGAAAAACCGCCACAGAAGGTTATGCAGACAGCTGTGGTGGGTACAAACGGGTCTTTAACTTACAGGATGAATCTTGAAGGCTTCCCTGGTAACGGTTGGGCGTTCACATACTTTGCTGAGATAGAGGATTTGGCTGAAGATGAGTCAAGGAAGTTCAGGTTGATTCTACCTGATCATCCTGATTATAGCAAAGCTATTGTTGACGTCAAGGAGAACACTCAGAGAGCGTTCAAGGTTTATGAGCCTGGTTATAAAAACATAAGCCTTCCTTATGTGTTAAACTTTCGGTTCGCTAAAACGGCTGATTCTTCTAGAGGACCTATTCTGAATGCTATGGAGATTAGTAAGTACCTGCAGAAGAGTGATGGTTCTGTTGATGGTGAGTTTTACCTTTTGTTGTGTGTTTAGTGTTGGTGTTGTGGGTTGTAAGATGGTTTGTTTGTGTTGCAGCAACTGTTATGGCTAATGTGGCATTGAGATATTCTTCAACTGTATGGGGTCAAGAAGGTGGTGACCCATGTTTGCCATCACCGTGGTCGTGGGTGACTTGCAGTTCTGATCCACAGCCAAGAGTTGTTGCTTTGTAAGGATGTCTATACTTGAAGCATGTGCATGTTTCAAACTTTGTTTAATGGTTCATTGTTTTACCAACTGCAGGAAGCTGTCTAATATGAACTTGACGGGAGATATACCTTCTGAACTGACGCAGTTGACTGGTTTGGTTGAGTTGTAAGCTACTTCACTTTTGTATCTTTTAAAACATATAGATGTGTTTCTGTTATTGATGTTGTAGCTTCTTGTCTATGCCAGAATGCTTGATGGGAACTCTTTGACAGGTTCAATACCGGACTTCTCTAGATGTCTGAACCTGAAGATAATGTAAAAAAAACACTCTTTAAGATCAAAGTTCTCTGTGGTTTTGTATGAATGTTGATGGACTATATGTTTTGCTGTGGCAGTCACATGGAGAACAACCGAATATCTGGAAAGATCCCTTCCTCATTGGCTAAACTCCCAAATCTGACAGAACTGTAAGCTACTTATTGATATATTATATTAACGTATATAAATGGGTGTGTAGTCTGCATAACCTAATCTACATAATGGTTGCAGGTACTTGCAGAACAATTTGTTAACGGGGAAAATACCATCAGGCCTGACCAAAGACGTGATCTCAAAGTACAGAGTTAAACTGCTTTAGCATGAATAGTTCCTACTTCCTAGCTAGATCATTACACTAATGTACACTATCTTTGTAAATTTTGCAGCTTCTCTGGGAACATTAATCTTCATGAACGTGGAGATAAAGGGAAGAAGCTTGGTGTCATCATTGGTGCATCAGTTGGTGCCCTTGTTCTGCTAATCGTCACCATCATCTCTCTCGTGTGCATGTGCAAACTGAAGAAGGACAACAAGATGAGGAAAACTTCAGGTATTTTGTTTGCCCTTTTTGCATCTTGTGTGGATTAATGATACTCAACATTTCGTTTTTGGTTACTTTCAGCAGAGTTAACAACTCGTCCCCCACATGTTCAAAGAGCATCATCTACCTTGAGTGAAGCTCATGGAGACGCTGCACATTGCTTCACACTCTATGAGATTGAGGAAGCAACAAACAAGTTTGAGAAGAGGATAGGGTCAGGAGGTTTTGGAATTGTGTATTATGGTTTAACAAAAGAGGGGAAAGAGATTGCTGTGAAAGTTCTTGCTAATAACTCATACCAGGGGAAGAGAGAGTTCGCTAACGAGGTATGTAAATGCCTTTGTGTAACCATGCACCACACAAGTATCAAGCTTTATATGTGTGGTTATGGTTGTTGACTTTGTTCAGGTTACGTTACTCTCAAGGATACATCATAGAAACCTTGTGCAGTTTCTTGGTTATTGCCAAGAAGAGGGAAGAAACATGCTCGTGTATGAGTTCATGCATAACGGGACTTTGAAAGAGCATCTTTACGGTAAAACACATTTTCTCACTCTCTATTGCTGAAACGGTTTCGCTTTAACGTTATGTTTTCTTGTTCAGGTGTGGTACCACGAGACCGGAGAATCAGTTGGATTAAACGGCTTGAGATAGCTGAAGATGCCGCACGAGGTATGGCGAAACCTTATTACAAAACAAAACAGAAAGAGTTCTTGATATTTGAGTATCTGATTTTGAATGTGTTTCTGTAGGGATCGAGTATCTTCACACAGGGTGTGTTCCAGCGATCATACACAGGGATCTCAAGACAAGTAACATCTTACTTGATAAACACATGAGAGCAAAGGTTTCAGATTTCGGTTTGTCGAAACTGGCTGTTGATGGAACCTCACATGTCTCCAGCATTGTCCGTGGCACAGTTGGATATCTAGACCCTGAGTAAGCTATAGACCCTTAACTAACGCCACATATCTTTACTTTGGACACTAACATATGTTATACAGGTACTACATATCACAACAGTTAACGGAGAAGAGTGACGTATACAGCTTTGGAGTCATTCTTCTTGAACTTATATCAGGACAAGAAGCCATATCAAATGAAAACTTCGGTGCCAACTGCAGGAACATTGTCCAATGGGTTAGTTTCATTTTCTGTTTTCTTGTATTCCAGTTTGTTGAGATCCCCTATGAAAGTTTACTAAAGGGTCTTAAAAGTGGATATGGTATTGTTTTTGTTGTAGGCCAAGATGCATATAGACAACGGGGACATAAGAGGGATCATAGATCCAGCACTAGCGGAAGACGACTACAGTCTCCAGTCAATGTGGAAGATCGCAGAGAAGGCGTTGCTGTGTGTGAAACCACACGGGAACATGAGACCGTCCATGTCCGAGGTGCAGAAGGATATACAAGACGCGATAAGGATGGAGAAGGAAGCTTTGGTCGGGAGAGGAGGGATGTCGGATGAGTTCTCAAGAAGCTCAGCGCATTCGTCATCGTTCAACATGGGAATGCGTGAGAACTATGTCTCTATTGATGAGTCTGTCTTGACGCCATCAGCTAGGTAGTAGAGGATTCGGGTTTTGTATAGAATGCATGATGCTTGCACTCTCCTTATGTGCTTTCACGTTGTCTCTGGTCTTTCTTTTTTTTAGTAGTTTTTAGTTTTTGAGGGTAAAAAACACTATGTTTTTGGAGACTCGAGCTTGCAAGAAATGCTTCGAGCTAGATTTTATTTATATCCTTAGAAATATTTGTTTGGGATTGTGAAATATATTTAAGTTGTTATTTTTCGATATTTCAATTTTTTCTGATTTGTTTTTGTTGGAAAATTGGACCTCCTACACGAAATTAGTTGTCTTCTTTCCTGTGATATGTTATTGTGAAACTGAACTATGTGAATTTTATATTTGACAAAAAAAAGAACTATGTGAATTTTATATTTGTCACTTTAGTAATTTTACTGAGATGGACTTCTGAAATATGGTATTAGAGATTCTTCTTATTGTCATCCTTATCGACCAAATTTTATGTATATCCCATTTACAAAAGAATTTTTTTTTTATGTATATCCATTATCCAGCAACAAAGGAATATAATTTAACGCTATTTAATCGATCCACAATAATATCATAGGGTTTTTTTAAAATTAAGTGCTAACTAAGTACCACTTTTAATGTTAAAATGATTTTATTTTGGTTATAACAATCTAATGCTTTTCAGTTAGAAATTGAAACCAAAATAACACTAATTATATTTAAAAAAAAAACTTAACAAAAATCAGGCAGAACATTATTAAATAGAACAAACTTAAAGATTAGAACAACACGTGGCATGACTGGATTTGGTAGAATATCAGCCAGAGAGGAAATGAAGAATAATAAAAAGAAAAAAAAAAGAGAAAGATGTTGTAGGTGAATATTAAAATATTAAAAAAGGAGAAGAAAAAAAACGAACGGTGGTGATAGAAAGAGAGAAAAGTCATAAAACCTAATCTCTGAAATCGCAGAGGCTCTCATCTCTCTCGTTTCTCCAGCGTCCGATCAATCTCTCCCTTCTCTCGATCTCTCCCTTCCCAGCATCCTCGCTTCCTTCCTCCAATCAAACGCCTCTCTATTTCCCTCCCGCCCTTTTTTCGAATTTCTTCCTTCTGGTAATTCAAACCTCTCCTTTTCTCCAATTTCTTCTTTGTTTTGTTCTGTTTTAATCTAATTGGGAGATGTTATGTTATGTTAGGGTTTGTGTTAGAAGATGGCGGAGTCGCAGCAGGTCAAGAGTCCCGGCGGAGGTGAGAGCGGCGGAGACCAAAGCCCTAGGTCGTCGTCGCACGTGCGTGAGCAAGACAGGTTTCTCCCGATTGCGAACATAAGCCGAATCATGAAAAGAGGGTTACCTGCTAATGGTAAGATCGCTAAAGACGCCAAGGAGATTGTCCAGGAATGTGTCTCCGAATTCATCAGCTTCATCACCAGCGAGTATGTCTTTCTTATCGATCTTTAGAATATTCAGAAAGTTTGAACCTTTATCGGTGAATTTGAGTCCACTTTGTGTAGTTAACTTTGTGATTTGGTGGGTTGATTGAAAAGTTAAGTTCTTTTTGGTCCTTACTTTGGTTGTTTCTTGTTGTTGTTTAAAAGTTAAGGTCTTTTTTATTCTGTTTCCTGTTCTACTTCTCTGTAGTTCATGTTAGGATTTAAATTAAGGTTTTATTTTACTGAGAAAATGTTTTGGATGATGCAGAGCGAGTGATAAGTGTCAAAGAGAGAAACGGAAGACCATCAATGGAGATGATTTGCTTTGGGCTATGGCTACTTTAGGTTTTGAAGACTACATCGATCCCCTCAAGGTTTATCTCACTAGATACAGAGAGGTAATCTTCTTTTCTGCTTATAGAGTACTACTTTGTCTTGCTATTTAATCACTAACTCTGTTTTTTTCTCTTTCTTTTTCTAATACATGAACTTGGATAATTATAGATGGAGGTCAGTGGTTCTTCTCTTCGTCCTTCCTAATTCTTGTAAACATGTTTTGATTGTTTTTAGAGAATCAGCTACTTTTTATCAGATTATTGATTCTTTGCTGATCTCCTCTTTGGTAATCGCAATAGGGTGACACAAAGGGGTCAGCAAAAGGTGGGGATGCGAATGCAAAGAAAGATGGCCAAACAAGCCAAAATGGCCAGGTACTTGTCTCTTAATCTCATGCCTTAAAATCTATCTTCGCCTTTCCTCTCTTTTCCTTTAGTTGACAGCACAGAGTTTGTTTACACATTTGGGCAGTTCTCGCAGCTTGCTCACCAAGGCTCTTTCTCACAAGCTTCTTATGGAAATTCTCAAGTAACTTTCCTTCTCTTCTCTCACACACATATAGCGATACTAACATCCCTCTCGTCCTTCTTTTTGTTCACTCAAATCCCGCTTCATTACTTACGCATAAGGCCCATAAAGCCTCATTCCCTCTGTAACCATAGCATGAACATAATCTCAAACCTACAGATCCAATGATCATTTTTAAGCTACACACATAACAACACAAATCACCAGCCAGTGACTAAGTTTAAACTTGATTATCATCTTTGACCCTTAAGAGTGTTGTGCAATGATCGTTTCTGTGATTAGATTTAGGGCAACGTGTTGAGAAGCTTTTGTGTTTATCTATTATGTATACTTTAAAACAAAACTAGGAACTAAATTTCCATGACTTTGGTATGTGAATGTAGGGTCAGCATATGATGGTTCCAATGCCGGGCACAGACTAGAATGATGGTGTTCCAAAACGGTTTGTCTGTATATTATGTTGTGTGTTGTAAAAGGATGCGTTTTTGCTATGCATAACTGTGACAATAATCATCTCATTGTTTGTTTTTTTCCTTTGGATTCGTTCTGAACAAGTTGAGAAATTCATATTTATATTTGGTTTGTGGATTTTTTCCATGCAAAACTATAATAGTAAGTTCCATAATCTTTTAATAGTTGTCTGATTGAATCAACAATTGCTAGTAGGACCAAGTCTGGAAAGTCACCTCCAACTTATTTTAGTATAGAAGAAGCTATTAGGTTAAGACCAGATCCACAAGTTCTGGGTTCATAAAACATAGTTTGTCATGCCCATTATGGTTCTGTGTCGGAAACAACAAAGTTGAGATTCGTAAACATTGATCAGAGTCTGAGCTTAGTCAATAAGAAAAAGAAATGAACGTACATTTCGCAACTCAGGTTTGGCAACAACAACAACAACAAAGCTTACATTAAAGACAACAATGGTAGTTTTTTCCTCGCATCAGTTATCACTTCTGACTTTTCTTCAGTAACACACCAAACTTCTTAAGCATACTCCCATTCTTCTTCTTCGGCGAAGACAAATCATCATCATTTTCATCCATATAAGGCGACATGTTCACGTTCCTCCTCAACGGACTCTCCAGCGACCCCGTTCTCTCCACGTACTTCCCATCTCTGTTATTGTTGTTACCACCAGAGAGCATAGTAGCTGCTGCTTCTGCAGCTTTCCTCCATTGATCACACTGAACCTTGAGTCTCCTTAGCTCACCTTCTAGTTCTGTGTTAGTTACTTGTGCTGCCTCTAGCTGTTCCGTTGCATTTTCTGCTCTATTCCCATTCTTATCAGCTTCCTCCTTCAGACTCTCAAGCCTCTCTAAGGCCTCGTCCATAGCCTTGTTCTTCTCGCTCTGTACCTTCTCCATTTCGCTCCTGACACTCTCGTTCTGTGACATTACACTCTGCAGCTCCATCTCCTTGTCCATCAGATTCCCTCTCAGCTCCATCAGATCAGATTCTAGCTTCTTGAGTTCACCTGTAACTTCTTCTGTTTCTTTGATTTTTAAGTTGAGTAACTCGTTTTCATCAGCCAGTATCCTCACCTTAGCTTCCTTATCCATCAAACGTTCATGCAAAGCCTCTCTTTCGACTTTGGTTCTCTTCAGTTCTTCCCCTAACTCAGATTTTACAGCCTCCACCTGTTCATAAGCACTTCTTATCTGCAACGTGCTCTGGACATACTCTTCTTGGTACCTTCTCTCAGTTACTTCCACTGCAGATTTCAACTGGCTAATCTCATGTCTTGCAACGTTTATCTCTTCTTTGAGCTCTTCCACCGATGATGAGTCTTCATCTTCTTCCTCGAGCTGTCTCACAAGTTGCTCTAGTGACTTTACCTCGGATTTGGACTGTTCTAGCTCGGTTGTAAGGGCGTTACAAGCTTCAGACATCGTCATACCATCAGAACGCAACATCTCAAGCGTCAAATTGGCTATCTCTAACTGCTTTTCAGTCGCTGAAACAATCTCATGGGCTCTAGCTTCTCCTTCCTTTGCGTCATACACTTCCTCTCTGAGCTCCTCGACAAGAGACAGCGTCTTGTCTAGTTCCATCCGTAAGTTCTCAAGGGATTCAGATTCAGACAGCTGTGCTTTCAGTTTCTGGACTTCGCTCATTGCTGAAGCTAGAGCAGTTGAATCCATGGCGTGCTGTCTCTGCATTGCTTCGAGTTCAGACTGCCATGTTCTGTCTCGTTCTTGAGAGAGTTTGCGAAGCTCGTCGATTCTTGAGTCCTCAGAGGCATTGATCTCAATCAACTGCTGCTTTGTCTCGTCTGCTTCATCTTGAGCTTCTTTCTTTGAAGCTTCTGAAGCGCTTAGCTGTTCCTTTGCCTTCTTTAGCTCCTCTTGCAGCTGAGATATCTGAGATGCTACTTCAGGTGTTGTCCCTGTCCGTTTCTTCTGAATCTTGCATACAAAAGCAACAACAAACACAAACAACTTAACTACACAACCAAATCAACTAACAGGCAAATTTTGATGTTTGATTAGCTGTTGTAAGAAGCAATACATAGACAAACTTCAAACACCTAAGAGTACTTAGTAGCACCAAACTAGTTCTTGTGAGACATAGAAAAATGAGACCAGTATGCATCAAAGCGTATTAGCAATGTGCAAAGCTACTACTAGTACCTCATTAATAGGGGTTTTTGGAGAACGGCGATCAGCAACTACTTTTGGGCTCTGAGCTTTTGGTGTTCTGATTTTCGGGTTGGGAGATGAAACAGGGTCCGTTTCTGCAGTTTTGAGCTTACGAGCAGTTCTAGGAGTTGCTGTAGGAGACTTCTTCTCCAAAGATCCGGGCCTATTATAGTCACACAGTAAAAGCTAAAGCATAAGCAAACATACAAGAACCACTAAAAGCTCCAAAGACCCAAAGAAACAGCAGCAGAGAAAGCTTTGGACTATTGAGGGTATATCACCTTGGTTTTGGAGACTGCATTGCTTCGTATTAGAGTCTTACAGGCACTCTATTTTGGATATAGTCAATACCTCCTGTGGATGAATATGTGAGGAAGAAGCAAGAAACACACATATAAGATTATCATAAGCATATACAACAAACTCAACAGAAGTACAAAGCTTAAGCAAGTATACAAGAAGAGAAATTCAGACCTAACAAACTACACAAATACATTTGCTTCAGACAGACTCCATTTGAAACTAACTAGTAACTACCACTACCACCAAACCAAGACAACAAAGACAAAACATATAAAGAAACTGTTCACAGTCAAGAGAAAGGAGAAGTTTCCATCTAATCATAAAGATAAACCGCAATTACAAGCAAAGAAAGTACTTTTATATTCCACTTTAGATCTTTTTTTAGTTGTCAAGTCATTTGTTTCTCTTCAAATTTTGGAATCTTTTGAGAGAAAATAACAATTATTGTCATTTTCTCAGAAAACAAATTTTGAAAACAACAGAAACCATTTGCATTTTTGTCCTGGAAAATATTACTAAAATACTCTTGGCTGAAACTTCAATTTTCAAGGACCAATAGAACGCTGTAAAATTTCAGAAGAGACTATACATATTAATTAACATAAACCCACAAAGATTTACAGTTTCAGCAGCATACTAATGCATAAATCAACTGATTAAACACACATAAATACAAGGAAAAAAATAGGATTTTTCAAACACAACAAAGAAAAAAAACTATTTGAAAACTAATTCAAAGAAGAGAAAGAAGTAGTAGTGTTTGATGTTCTTCACCTGCAAGCAAAACTGTGGCTTTAGCTGCTTCCTCTTTTGATCTGAACTGCTTGAAGAACACAGAGAATTGGAGATGCCAAGAAATGGAAAGATTTGCAGAAACCAACTTCCAAGAGACTGTATTATTCAGACCATATGAGCTTCTGACAACATCTTCTTCCTCTCTCTTTGTCCCTAGTGTTGTTCTCTCACTGGACTATACTCGTTTTCCCAAGTCTCTTTCCTCCATAGAACTGTCTTATTTTTTTCTTCTTTTTTTTTTTGTAACAAACTGTCTTATTTTTTTTACAATTAATATCCAGAAAGAGAAAGAGGGACTATGAAGAAAAAATTGAGTTCTATAAAATTATTATTTTACCCCTAATATCTTTTGTTTTATATCAAAATAGTCCCTGTTTTAGTCCCCTAAGCTGTCTTTTTTTCTTGAACATAGTCCTTAAGCTGTCTAAAAAAGATTAGGCATGTTTACTTTAGAAAACGGTTCTACATTGTTTTTGTAACTGGCCATTTAAGAGTTTTGCAATTAAATGTAGCTTTATTGTTTCATTGTCCTTTTGTAATTAGGTTGTTTTTCTTTTCTTTTTTTAGTTTACAAAAAAAAAAAAACCTAATTACAAAAGAACAATGAAACAATTATAAGCTACATTTAACTAAAACACGACAAACAAGAAAAACAGATATAAATTTGTTATTATTTTGTCTAAAGGCACCATACAATATTTTTTGAAAGACATTATTTTCGTGGATCTGGTAACTGCATCAAGTTAGAAGAAACGAGGAGTAAAACAGTGAAACGAGATGTAGTGTGAAAGATAGATAGGCGTCAGGTCACGTGACAGTTTCGGCCTTCATATGGCTATTTAATGGTTATTGCTAACGAGTAACGGTAATATTATGAGTCACAAGCCCCTATAGTTTTCTTATTATCTTTTTAATTTTTTTTTGAATGAGTTAAGGTTTATTAGTATGCATTTCTTCGTATACTTTATATATGTTACCTCCCATCCTCTACCTTTTTCGCCAAAAGATGCACCTAATCCCTCAGTACAGTTTTTTTCTCTTTTTAGGTTCTTTTAATACAGATTATTTGTATCACACTGACTTATCTTTCTCTTTCATGCATCATATGGATTAGTTTGAGTTAATCGAAAGTGTTTAGTCAGAGATGCAACTAATCTTGCATAGAAGATAACACTAACGATTAGTCCGGCCAAAATTTTCTGATATAAACTAAAACATAATTCAGTTTTCAGTATTAATTGTACCTAGATAACAAATTTGTGGCTAATCCATTAATCAACTTATTAGCGCCTAGAAACATTAAACTAAACTTTTAAATCAGTCACAATTAAAGTCATAATACAAAAAAAAAACGCCAGCTCCACTATAAATTAACAAACGAATGACAAAACGAGAAAACTCCTCATAATGTCAAAATTGCTAAGTTAAAATTAAAATTGACTATCACTAACCCAAAAACAACCACATATATATATATATATAACTTTTGGAAAAGTGAAAAAAGTGGACATAGGAGTCAGGATTCTTATAAACCTTAAAATGTAGATTGCGTGAGTATAGTGTTATATAGCTTTTCTTTTACATTAAAAGGTTATTCTATTATTCAAAATAAAAATTATTTGGATGATCAAACCGAACAACAAAATATAATTTTTATATGAAACACTTGTCTAAAAACACTGCATTCGTATTTCCAGCTCGAGGAAGATATTCAACAGAAAAGTTTTAAAAACTTTGCTTATGATTGTTTTAAATAGGTTACTGGATTGTTTTTAAGATTTAATTATAATTTGTGTATACTTCGGTGAAGTAGTAGTACTCACATACGTTAATAGGTTAGGTTTAGTAGTTTGGGACTTCATGCATTAGAGCACTCCCATCATGGGGAGTTCACACGCAAACCAAAAAAAAAATTAATATGAAAATCAGATTTCTAAAAATCTTTCTCTCAAAAGTTCACTGCGGTGAATTCCGATGACCCCGGATTCACCACGTGTCAGTCTCTAATTGGTTCATTATTAACTTTTTTTTTCTTCTTTTTAAAGTAAACGAAAAAAAATAATTTTTTATTTATGTGAATCTCTGGAGAGGGATTCATTGACGTGGATCCTCTTACTGTGTTTTTGCTGTCGGGATCCTAGGAATTCCCAGTTACCACCGCAATAGGTCACCGAGAGATAAATGCAGCCTGCAATTTTGTTATACCCTATGGTCATAATGTATGTAATTTGATTTATGGACATTGATATCCCCAACTTTTGGTCGGTCCATGGACTGTTATTCCATGTGCACTTGCTGTTTTGACGTTATTGACATTGACAGTCCATATCTTAAATTAGTTAATGACCACAATGTATGACATTATTATAGATAACCGATGATTATGGGTTAGATATGCGACCATAATTATGTCAGTTAAAATAATTGATATATAAATATATTTGTTGTGTGTGAAATAGTACTATAGATGACTGAACTCAGTGAACTCGAATATGATCAGGTTTTGTGACAGAACTCTCCGTACAAAAAACAAGAAGACAGTTTTCATGAACACACAAATGGTTTGTAAGAACATTTTCAGTTTCTTAGTTTACACGTTAGAGAATTCAAAAACACGCTCATACTTATATTTATAGTTCAAGCACGTTCGAAATGAGAAGTTTTCACTTTTGTAGGATATATAAATTTTGGTGGTCGATGTATGGACCAGTTATAGAGGTGATCACTCACTATCTTGCTGGGGTTTGGATTATAATAATTAAAAGAAGTTGTGGTTTTCTGCTGAATCTGCAACCGATATTTTGTTATTTTATGATCCGATGCTGCTACTTTTTTACTAATCCATAGTTATTACATGACAACCGAAAACTCGGTAACTATTACACAACTATCTTGCCTAGCGCATTCAAGCAAAACATACCTTTAAAGAACAACTTGGCATTTCAAAGAGAGGTTTGCAAGGTTCTGAAGTTTCATGAGTCTATTAAAGTAAAACATAATGAAGTTTTTAACAATGTATATTGTGCTGGATTAGATTAGATCAAATACATCGAAAGTTTCTTAACATTTCAAAGGTTTTTTACAATGAAAATATTTAGGCCTCGCACTGTGCGCCTATTGAAAAAACGTCAAATAACCATTTTTATAAAAAAGTAAAAAAAAAAAAAAGCCTTCAAGACTTTTTTATTGACTTAAATAGGGCTGGGAAAAAAATCCGAAACCGAAAAACTAAACCAAATTTGATCTGAAAAAATAGTACTAAAACCGAACCAAAACTGATTAAATATCCGAACAGGTTCAATATTTTGGTATCTAAAGAACCGAAACCGAACATAATCCGAACAAAAATATTTTGAGTACCCGAATATATCGGAATCAAATTTATATACTTGAATATATTAGTTCTTTTTAGATTTAATATCCAAAATATTTAAAAAAATATATATAATAATTATAATTAAATATATAAAATACAAAACATAACTCAAAACACCAGAAATAATTAAAATATATATTGAATCTCCATCCAAATATTTAATCCAAATTAATTTTTATGTTAATTTAGATATTTTGGCATGCATTACTCAAATATATATGTTATATATTATTTTTAGATTTTGGGGAAATTTAAAATATATATGAATTTTAAAAATTTAAAAATAATTTAAATGGATTATCCGAATCCGAACCCTCAAAGATCCGAAACGAACCCAAACCAAAATTTATAAATACCCGAACAGAGTAAAATCTCTAATTTCCAAAACCCGAAACATAAATGGACCCAAACCGAACCCGAATGGGTACCCCAACGCCTATGCTAGACTTAAGCATGATTCTAGCCGGAGACAGAAAACCTATACTTTTTTTTCCGGCGGGACACAGGAAACTCTCTTCATTTAGAGTGACTCGCATCATCATGGGTCAATTGAAGACGATAAACCAGTCAAACAAATCCGAAGCTAAACGGCCGGCCAAAGATGCAACGGAAAGCCACCACCAACGTCCGAGACTGCGCGTGGAATCCTTTCTCCTGGAAACTCAAACAGACTTGCTTTAGCCTCGTTTGGCGCAAATGAAGAAAATCAGAGAAGAGATCAAAGGAGGAAATTTTTTCCGGAATTTCCTCCAGAGATCATCAGGGAAATCCTGATCAAACTCCCGATCAAATCAATCGGTAGATCCAGATGCGTGTCAAAGCTGTTCCGCTCCATCTCATCAGATCCAGAGTTAACAAAAAGCCACCTACATCTAACCGTTCATCACCCGAAGAAGCTCATCATATCTTTACCTAACGATGACATGTACACACTAGACTTATTACACGAATCAACTCGAGATTTAATAGCTGTAGAACTCAATTACCCGCTTAAATACAAACTATCCCGAAGAGACTATGTCGAAATCCACAGATCTTGCAACGGTTTAATCTGTATATCTCCAGACGAAGACATTGTTTTCTTGTACAACCCAACCACAGGAGAATCCAAGAGATTACCTGACACCCTACCTTCCAGCTTCGAAGGACTCCGATCTTACGGATTCGGCTTTGATCATCTCACCAATGATTATAAAGTAGTCAGGCTTGTTTGTGATTTCACACATCTTCTCTACGCTACTGTATACTCCTTAAAGTATGACTCGTCGTGGAGATGGATCCGTGATTTGAACTATAAACATAACTATTGCTTCCATTTGCCCAAAAAAAAAAAAAACTATTGCTTCCATATATAATCTATGCCAATATCTTTACTCTAATGTGACAAATACTCTCAAAGGCTGATAAGAACAAAATAGTGTTTATTGATGTAAAACGTTGAATTACAATACTCTCAGCACAGCATCTCTCTGTGCCTAAGCCAACGCTCTCTCTCAGCACAGTATCTCTCTGTGACTGAGCCCGAACTCACTACAAGAAAACAAAGCATTTACTAGAAAATTTTACTAGGAAAATTCTTCCTCGTAAAGTTACTAAGCATTTACTAGGATCTTACGAGGAAAGCAAATTTCCTCGTAAGCTCCTCGAAAACTTACGAGGAAATACTTTCCTCGTAAGACCTTAGTAAATTTACGAGGAGCTTACGAGGAAAAATTACTTTTCCTCGTAATGCCGTAGTAAACACTTTCCTCGTAAAGACGTAGTAAAATATTACTACGAAATTAGGAGGAAATAGTTTCTTACTACGAAATTAGGAGGAAATAGATAGGAAATATCGAATTTAAATAAAACACATGTTTTGTACCTACTTTTCCTAGCAATTTCCTAGTAAATTCTCAGATTCAAAAATTTCTATAAATACCACCTTATGTGATTCATTTGAAACATACCAAAAAAAAAATCAGATATAAACTTGATCAAACACAAAAAAATGTCCGGTCCGGGAAATATTTTCGAGTTGCGGCAGTGGATGTATTCACACAGAGATAATAACGGGAGGGTGACGAACGAATTTCTTGAAGGGTTGGAGACGTTCATGCATCAAGCAGATTCTACACCACTCACGCAGGAAAGTGGTAAGATGTTC